ACAATGAAGGTCATGATGACAATGACGATGATTATGGTGATGAAGACAATGACGATGATAACGATTACGATGATGATGGTGATGATGATGAAAACTGTGAATGGCGATAAGGATGACGATGACGATGACGACGGTGATGATGATGATGGTGATGATGATGCAATGATGACAGTGATTATGGCGATGGATATGACGACGACAATGACGTTGATGATGATGATGATGATGATGGTGATGATGGTGTTGATAATTACGATCACGATGACGGTGATGATAAATATGATGAGAACGATTGTGATGATGATTGCGACAGCGATGACGATGTTGATTATCTTTATGATGAGAATGGTGAGGGTGAGGATGATGATGACGATGATAATGATGGTGATGATGATCGTGATGATGATGCCCATGATGATGATGATGATGATGATGATGATGATGATGGTGATGGTGATGGTGATGTTGATGATGATGATTATGATAATGATTATGATGATGATGATGATGATGATGATGATGATGATGATGATGATGATGACGATGATGCAAGTTCCAAGGTTTCTAGGACGCCCCTGATGTCCTGGTGTTCCACACGAGCTGCAGAAACGAGGGCCTGGAAGTCCTGGAACGCATCCTGAGCCAATCCGATCATGACATCATTACCGTCTTACCCGAGTGTTAAAAAATTCGCATCGGAAGGTTTGCGCCATTTATGTACTGTCTCCTGGGGCCCTCGCCGAGCCCCAGGACCTTTGAAAAAAGACTCGGAGTGAAAAGCTGGGCCGCAGAACGGGGTCCAGACATCTGAGGCCATGACCCCAGCTCTCCGTCGAAATGATTTGTTCAATCCGAGTTGTTCCTCGATTTCGGCCTCTGGGGCCCGTTATTGGACACCAGGACCACCAAACGCGGATCCAGGACGAACAAACTGACCCCGGGGAAGCGGTCGGCGAATGTCAGAGAAGGTACAATCGGACCGAGGTATAAAATCGAGGTCGGCTCGGGGAGGGTACCCTTGTGTTCTTCGTGCTTGTTGGAAGTTCTCGTGCGTCCTGGGGAGGGACCCCTTGGATGTTCTGTGTGTTTTGGCCGGCGGAGGGGTCGCATGCTCTTGAGGGATGTTCTTCTGGCCCAGGGCCGATTGCACCGGTTTTCTTCTCAATCCGCGGCCCCAGAGCTCGCGACCCCTTCCCCAGGGGCAGGCCTGCGTCGGGGATCCGCTCGTGTGGTGGCCCAGGGGGGCCCGGCAGCGGGCCCCTCGGGGGCTGGAAACCGACGATAGATCGTCCGAGATCTGGGCCTGCTGCACGCCCAGGTGGGAGGCCATGGTCGTCAACCTGGCCCGGCGCCCGGAGCGCCTCGCGCGCTTCGTGGGGGCGGTGCTCGGCCACGCGCCAAAGAGCGGCCCTTCGCCGGGAGGGCCCGCGGCGCGCGGCCTGCGGGCAGGGCAGGGGGCCCTTCTGTCGGGCCTGTCCCTCTACGGGGGGAATATTCAAAAAATAGTTTAGAAATATTCTGGGGACTATTTTTGGAATATTGATTACACCATGTTGGTGCATGTTTGGGGTATTTTTTATCTTTCGTCGAAAATCCCCCTGTAGGGGGACACGCCCGACTTAAGCCCAGGCCCTTGCACGCAGGCTGCTGCCCCAGGCATGCCGTGCCCTGATTGTTGTTCGGTGCGGGGCCCCGGAAGTCCCAGCCCGAGGGGCAGGAGCAGGCTGACGCTGCGGAGTGCTCGCTGCCCAGGAGGTTCTTCGAGCTCTCCCTGGAGAACAAGTGGGAGTCCCAACCCTCTTCCCGGGGACCGGCGTCTCATCCCGAGCGGCCTGGCGATGGCGGTGGCCCCCAGAGGTCGGGAGCGGAAAAGAGGGGGGTGATGACTAGGGGGGGTGGATTTCATGGCGCGGGCCATGATTTTTCCTCAGATTTCATGGCGCCTCTTCTTATTTGATTACGTCCCAGGCCCCCCCGCTGGGCCGCGCACAGGCCGCCGGTCATGATTTGCACCCCCCCCTCTTGGACACCCCCCTCTTGGCCGCTCCCGAAGAGGCCGAAGACGGCCACGAGCCGTCCGCCGTGAGTCCTTGCACGGCGCGAGCACGTCCTGGGCCGCCGCACCGCACGCGACGGTCGGCAAGTCGCGCACCAAAGGTCACGCCTCGGCGGCGAGATCGGAACCTTTCAGGAGGGGAAAAACGCACAGACACACTTACACTTAAGCCGGGCGTCCAAACTCCGCTTGTAGGGGGACACGCCCGACCTGAAGTTCATCGACGATGCCCAGGAAGATATACTGGAAACTACGGGAATGTGGGGGGGAGAAGACGAACCCCCAGGAAATATGAGAAAATGTGGGGAATCTTGGGATTTGTATATATTTATATGTGTGTGTCTTTGGGCCCCTTTAAACCTTGCCCTCGCCGATCAACAAGTCAATCAGCTCGATGGGCGGAGAGGGTTGTGCTCGAAATTCGTCGAACACGTGGCGAACTCCGAACCCCACCGCCGCCTCCCATCGATTCAGGCGAATCGATGGTTGGTGGGGTAGGGCTCGGATGTCGCCACCTGAGCGACTGGAGGAAACGGAGTCGACTGCGCCAACATTCGCGCGTAAATTTCCCGCGTAAGGTCGCGCGTAAGCGCCCTTGCTTCCATTGTAACATGACTCGCTGGGGGCCCGCGTGAGCCGCGGCGTAATGTCGCGATGTCATCTCGCGTAAGACATGTCTCTTTTCGTCGCCCACCGACAGTCGAAAAAAAGATGATAAGGACGGGTAACCGTCCCAAGGATACCCTTGTCTCCGTGCCTCGTCGGTCCGTCGACGAACAACTTTCGACGGCGAGCCCCGCTCGGAAAGCTTCGAAATTGGCGCACAGGGGGCCTGCATCCCTGTCGCGCATCCTTGCTACCAGACTCGCCAAAAAAATAAACTGACGGTGACTGCTTTCGGCGCTTGCGCGGTCGGCGCTATTTCAATGTTGGCATGAGGTGTTTGGCCCACACGCAGGGGTGTCCGAAATCCGGCAGTGCCCTCCAAAAGCGTTGAAGAGCGCGTTCTCTCACAAGTGCCCGAACCATCGGGCGTTTCGATTGGGAGCGGCGCGTCCACTCTTTTCTGACGAGGTTTGTATTAGTTTGGGCTGCAACCCAGAATGGGCGAAAAAACGTATCCGTGCGACCGCGCATACGCGGGATCGTTCCCCAGGATGCAGACCGCGAGGGCGCGGTCGGAGGACGCGCAACGGGGGGGCGATGCATCGGGGGGGGGCAGCGAGGGCTGCCGAGAAGGGGCCCTCTCGGGCCCCTGAATGGGGCCCTTGCGGGCCCAGAAGGGTGCGCTGCGGGCCCGAAAAAAGGGCACCTTTCTTCCCCCTCGCCCCCCCTGGATTCGCGCTCAAGCGCAGATGCGGATATGTGCGCCGCCGTCGTCGTCGTCGTCGCCGTCGCCGTCGTCGGCGCCGTCGTCGGCGCCGTCGTCGTCGTCGTCGCCGTCGTCGGCGCCGTCGTCGGCGCCGTCGTCGGCGCCGTCATCGTCGTCGTCGTCGCCGCCAGAGGTGCGCGCGGAGCAGCCCTGGCTGCTGCGCGAGGGCCGCCTCTGCCGCGTGGAGGGCCGCGACGGCCGGGAGCTGCCCCGGGGCGCGGCCGCGGCCGCCGCGGCCGCCGTGGCGGGCAGCGCGCCTCGGAGAGGAGGGCCAGCCCCAGGCCAGGGCTCGTTTTTGTATCTGACTCCTTCGACTTCGACTTCGATGTTCGTTTCGGTTCCTTCGACGCGATTTCGATGTCGATTCGCTTCCAGGCCTTCGATTCGGTTCGATCCGATTTTTTTGCTGGCTCCCGATTCTGATTCCGATGCGGTGCGGGATGCCGATTCGGGCTCCGATTTCTCAACCCAGACCCCCTCGCGCTGTCAAAAAGTCACGGTGGGGAATGTTTCGCTATGTTCGGCCTCCAGGGGCCCTGACTGGGCCTTGGGACCGTCAAAAAACGACTCGGGATGGAAAACCGGTCCCAGGGAAGGGGTCCAGACCTCTCGGGGTCGACGCTGTGAGAAAATTGCGACGTCGGTGATCTGGGAATGGAGGCTTACTAGCCTGCCGATCTCCGCCGACTCGGCTTCTCCCGACTCGGCTGCTGGATCCTCCGCCGATCCGAGGCATTTTTGATCGCAGGTCCGACTTGTATCGATTCGGCCCTGAGCTTGCCTGCAGGCCCCCTTGCGTCGTGAGGAGCAACTTCGTTCCTTTTCGGTCCGCGGCGACCTGGGGCCAAGACACGGCCGGAGCAGCGCCAGGGCGGCGGGGCGCACCTGTGGCGAGTTGGGGCCCGGGGGGGGGGGGGGAAGGCGGAGCTGGAGGGGCAGGGAACGAGCGGGCGGCGGAGCGAGCTCAGACCGGGAAGGCCAGGAACGCGTGTGCCAGGGGACAGGCCTCTGGGCAGCCGGCGCCAGGGAGCCTCATGAGAAGCACCACGGAGGCGGGGGGTCGGCAACTTTGGGCCTCCGGGGCAGCCTGGGGAACGAGCCCAGTCCTGGGCAAGGGGGGTCGAGACGTCCGCGGGGCCCCCGCCGTGAAGAAAGACGGCCTCGGGGGTACGAACCAGTCCTGGGGAAGGGGGGTCGAGACGTCCACGGGGCCCGCGTCGTGAAAGAGCACGGCGTCGGGGCTCTGGGGTCCAGACAGCGGCGGCCCCCCCTTGGCGTTCTGGGCTCTTTGCTGGACCTCTGGACGGGGCTTCTGGCCGCCATGGCTGGATCTGCCTCGCAGAACGGGCCCAAGGATGGACCCCGGCGGGGTTCGGGGGCCGATTCTGAGCGGAGCTGGGCCCAGCGCGCGAGTCGCCATGGTCTCGCTTGGCCCTCCTCTGGCTGCCGCCCGACCCCAGCCGGCCCGTGGCCGCATCGCTGCGCGACGCCGCCGCGCTCGTGCGCGACGGCTGGGTGACCGCCGCGGCGCTGGCCACGGCGGAGGCCGCCTCGCAGCCCTTTTGGCCAGGCATGACCGCGGGCGGCCTGGGCCTGTACCTCGGGCACGCCGCGGCCTGGCGGCACATCCTGAGCGCCGGCCTGGACTTCGGGCTCGTCTTCGAGGACGACCTGACGCTCTTCGCGCCCAGCGTCGGGTCGGGCATGCCCCTCTGCAGGAGGAGGAAGATTCAGAAGGAGCCCAGAGATATGGTCTGGGGACGATTTGTCGATCATGTGTTTTGACCAGTGTGTGGCTGCTTTTCCTGTTTCGTCCAGAGGCCGCCTGTAGCAGGACATGCCCGACCCGAGCCCAGCTTCCGAGACAACGTCTCCGCGGCCCTCGCCGGCACCGCCCAGCCGACCGGCCCGGGGGCGGCGCGCTGGGACCTGCTCTACCTGCAGAGGCCCAGGCCTCCGAAGCGGGGTCCGGTCGGATGGGGCCGGAGGACCGCGCCGCGTCGCCGAGCGGGGCTCTCAGGGGACGGGGGTCCGTGCAAGCGGGGGCCAGCCAGAGCGCAGGGCTTGGGCTCCTCCTCCTCCTCCTCCTCCTCCTCCTCCTCCTCCTCCTCCTCCTCCTCCTCCTCCTCCTCCTCCTCCTCCTCCTCCTCCTCCTCGCTCTCCGCCTCCTCATCCCATGCATCGCCGACCGAGGAGGGGCCAGTCAGTGCATTGACCCGGGCTTGGGTGCAGGATCTTGCAGGATTCTGCAAGGCCTGACTGACCTGGGTCTGGGTCGACCCGGGTCAGAAGATCCCCGAGCCGATGCATCGGCGATGCAGCTCGATGTGGGGCCCGAGTTGCTCCGCGCCGGCGCCTCGCCGACGTCCCCCAGGCGCATGGGCGATGCCTCGACCACGAGAAGTGGTCCTCCGACCCCCATCTGCTCTTACCGCGTTTGGGAAGCCTCCGAGAGGTGTGACGACGAGGCGTGGCCCAAGGACCGAGCGGGAGATCGACTACAGAGTTGATTTGCCCCAGAATTGAATCTCTCGCCGAGTCTGGAAAAAAGGGGCGTGGAATGTGCGTAGATGTGTGACCATTCTACGCATGCTTCCTGGATCTGGCGAGAACAATTTTGGGGTGAATGCCTTCTGTACAGTCGACCCGCACAGTAAGGATGAGCGATTTCCCAAGGGTGCCTGCCTTTGCATCCTTGCCCCTTCGGCCAATCCTTGGCCAATTTCGCTGGCCGCACCCCGCTTCGAAAAGCGTCCAAGGCCCTTGCATCCTTATCGCGCATCCTTATGTCGGCAGCGAGCGATGGGGGGAAATGATAAGGAGAAGGCCTTCTCGGAAGGCAGCGGGACTTCTCAGAAGTCCTACGGCCTTCTGAGAAGATTTGTCTGTGTCTTCGGGGAAGGCGTAGAAGACTTCTCAAAAGGCCGGGGAACTCCCGAGCCTTCTGAGAAGGCCTCCTCCTTCTCTCCTTTCCCCCTCGCTCGCCGCCGACTTATATGATACAGTCCGACTGAGATCCGTCCGACGTAGCGAAAAAATACAACATCGTAAAAAATCTTGCCCGGAACCCTAGACCGCATCCTTCTGCGTCATTTTGAGAGTTGGATCGATATGTGAGGGTCCCGGGGCCCGAAAAAAGGCGAAAACGCCCGGCTCGAAAACATTGAGACGCCAGGATCTCAGGGAACAATGTGGGGCCAGTCCCTTCTGTAGTCGATCCCCCCCTCGACAGGAGCGCGTGGGGACGGGGACCGCTCGGATGGCGTCGCGACGAGGCGTCGCCCGCGCATCGCCCGTGCATCGCCGAAGCACCGGCGATGCGGCGCGATCCTCCGACCCCCTCCACTGCGACCCCCCTCCCGAGGGCCTCGAAGTCGATCCCCCCCTCGATCGACTAGACGTAAGAGTGACCTTTCGCTGGAGTGACCTTTGGTGCGGGCACAGATGGGCCCCCAGATGGCTGAAAACGAAGCAGGAGCAGCGGCTTGCGCGCCCAGGTTTGGTCCCCCCGCGGCCCCCAAAAAGCCGCGCACCAAAGGTCACTCTTACCCAGGGTCACTCTTGCGTGTAGCCGACTCGGCAGGAGCGCGTGTGGGCGGAGACCGCTCGCAGGGCGTCGCGGAGGCCCGTCGTCGTGCCGCTCGGCGGCAACGCCACCGTGCCCTGCACGGGCGCCTACCTGCTCTCGGCGGCGGGGGCCCGGAAGCTGCTGCGCGGCGCGCTGCCGGCGAGCTCCCAGCTGGACGAGCTCGGGGCCCCCCTAAGCGGGGGCACGGGCACGAGGTCGGGCAGGTCCCTCGGCAGGAAGAGGGCCCAGGAGAATGGTCAGAAGACAGTCTGGAGACGACTCGCGCGTGCTCCTCTGGCTGCGACTGTGTGTGTGTGTGTGTGTTGTGTGTTGTGTGTTGTGTGTTGTGTGTTGTGTGTTGTGTGTTGTGTGTTGTGTGTTGTGTGTTGTGTGTTGTGTGTTGTGTGTGTGTTGTGTGTTGTGTGTTGTGTGTTGTGTGTTGTGTGTTGTGTGTTGTGTGTGTTGTGTGTTGTGTGTTGTGTGTTGTGTGTTGTGTGTTGTGTGTTGTGTGTTGTGTGTTGTGTGTTGTGTGTTGTGTGTTGTGTGTTGTGTGTTGTGTGTTGTGTGTGTGTGTGTGTGTGTGTGTGTGTGTGTGTGTGTGTGTGTGTGTTTTGTGTGTTGTGTGTTGTGTGTTGTGTGTTGTGTGTGTGTTGTGTGTTGTGTGTGTGGTGTGTTGTTGTGTGTTGTGTGTTGTGTGTTGTGTGTTGTGTGTTGTTTGTGTGTTGTGTGTTGTGTGTTGTGTGTTGTGTGTGTTGTTGTGTGTTGTGTGTGTGTGTGTTGTGTGTGTTGTGTGTTGTGTTTTGTGTGTTGTGTGTTGTGTGTTGTGTGTTGTGTGTTGTGTGT